CTATGGAAACCGATCGAAGCCACCGGTCTTCAACCAATACGGCGCCCTATTGTTTGAAGACCGGTGACTACGCTATATTTCCGTAAGAGTGAAGTTGTTTTTTGTTGTTTTTTTTTTTCCTTTTTCCTTGGGTACGTTTGCTCTTTGCAAATTTTATAGAAAACAATGCACCACATGTGGGCAACGTTGCAGAAAATCATAGCGCGATAGTTTAAGAAACCGAAAACCGTGGTCGAATTAAAGAGCCTGGCCGCAACTTGTGACACGCGGTCGTTTAAGGTAGAAATTGAGAGATAATCTTATTTTCAATTGTCGCGAATAAATTAGATTTTTTCATCCTGGAACAAATGTCGGGGATGAAAATATCTCAAGAAAGCGTTTAATAATGACGAAAAATTTGAGAAACACTATTGAAACTTTATTGCTATTTAATATTACTTTATAGCGTTTATGAGATAACCGTTCAATTGATCAGTTTGACATGTCTACAAAGTATTTGTTTTGGTACGCGGCACCAAAGAAACTGTACACTAAACACGGAAAACTTACATGGATGTGAATCACAAGCCTGACCCAAAGCAAAGTTGATTTGTGTGCATTGCTAGGAATATGTTTGATATTGCTATTTTTTTTCTGTTTCCAAAGAGATTACTTTCTAATGTCTAAAATAAGTCTCCGAAAAGAACCGTGATAGGGCGGCATTGGCATATATAGATACGTTGTGAAGGTAGTCGGACAATTGGCTCATCTAAGTAAAAAACTAAACTCCTCGTCGAAGCTGTCGTTTAGTGGTCTATTTGCTGTTATGTAATTTTGAAACCTGGCCATATTTTAATTTAAAGAAAAAAACAAACTCGGAGGGCACTTAAGCTTCGCCTTTGAGAGTGAAACGCGATAGCGTTATCGTGCCGCGGGCGCACTGCCTTCTCATTCGCCGAGTTAACGCGCCTTGCGGGGCCTAGTCTGTTGCGTGTCTTGCTCGCAACCGAAGGGTCGTAGGTTTAAATCCCGCCTAAAATTCTTCCATCTTTTTAAAGACTTATTAATTATTTTATAAACTTACATCATTTCAGACATGCGGCGACCTTTAATTCGCATTACTTGTCGTGTTTTTATTACTTTAATTTCACACGTGACGTCACGTTTCATGTGAGCATTGTGGGTTGTTTGAAATTTGCGCGCGAGGTTATGCACGTGGCTGTGACGTCATGGCCCTATCGACCAATCAGAATTTACTCGTCACGCCACCGACGCCTGCTTTTCTTTGACACGAGCTCCTTAACGCTATCACGTTAAAAGTAACGATATTAATAGGGAATTGTAGTAGACCGTTTCCGCAGCCCGCTAAGCACCCGGATAGCGCTCCGTAATCCGCCACATGACCCTGAACTATGCAGAGAAGGCTGGCGGCGCGCACGCGCAGCTGCGGCGTTTTGTTCGGGGATAGCGTAGCGGAGGAGAAAAACGATCTACTACAACTCCCTATTGGTAATTTTAATGCCGGTTAAGGACGCAGGCGGCTGACACTCTTGTCGCGCGCTCCTGTCGAGAGGCGGTACCACATAGTGTTGCATATTAGGTCGAAGTTGACATAAAAAACAGCGTCCAGCGATAAAAGCCATCGCCCGATTTAAAGGGTTGAACCGTATGCATCTCTTCATCCATTCAGCAAAATCGGACGACAGAGATGCCAGATGCGTCGACAGTGAGTTCAAACATCTGAAACGTTAGTGTTCTTTTTTTATATAGCTTTAGGTAACGAAAACGAATCCGACACTGTAATATGAGCCGGAAAAATCGGCGGTCACATATCGCTAGTTCAAACTTTCACCGGATATGCACTGAGCAGGTCAGTCTTACCGTGTGTTATTTCAACGCGTTCTCTTTCTTTCAAGGAAATGAGAGCAACAAACCTGACAACGTCGGGCACGTTAGCAGATGACCAAGTTGGCGGCTCTATTAACTTATGGCGCCATCTTCCGAATGGCGCAGCCAGTAGACAAAAAAGTGCGTCGTCCGCTCGATGCACCTATAGCGAGATGGCGCCACAAGTTAATAGCGTCGCTAACTCAATCGTCTGCGAACGCGCCCGACGTTGACTTTGGCGAGTTTGTTGCTCTCATTTTTTTACAGGAAGAGAACTACGCCTTAAAATTTCAAACGCTAAAATCGTCCTGCTCACTTCACATTCGGTGAAAGAGTTTTCAATGTGCAGGCGCCGATTTCTTCGGCTCTTTTTACAGCACCGGTTCCGCTTGTTCTACCCTATTATAAGCCTCAGCTCACTCCTAAGTTATATGAAACAAAGATTATTGTTTTTATTTTCACATTTATCGCGTTCGTCATGGTGTTCTTCATATGCTATATGTGTCAACGTCGGCGCCTATGCGCGGCGTTCAAATTTACATTGACATGCGTTTGACTGTTCAATGAAACAAAGTGCCACCTTCAAATATCTCAATGACTAAAGAACACCTAAGATGAAAATCTGACCTTTTTATGTAAAGGCACCAATTTTTTCGGCGCATTTTAATTCACGTGATAATTAGAATGCACGACCATTACTTTGTTAATTAAATCGTGCATTAGCAAAAGTTCGTAGGGAAATTGTCTCGTTCTATTTAAATTGTTTATCTCTGCACCACTGCGACACTCATTGTAGCAGTGTTCTGCCCCTCCTCGTTGCCGCTAATGCTGACCACCGCCACCTACCTACCTCATCAGATGTCCCCCGACTCGATGGTTTCTCCCGTAATCTGCAGCTAAAGAAAACAACAAAACGCTCAAATGATATATTTTAAAGTCCCACGGAATTAAGTGGTACCGTACCGGAAGGTCTTTGAAACTTCTCTCAGTCCCGCGAATTCCAAAGCAGTAAGCACCGAAGCGATGCACCCCGACTCTCAGAGTGTGTTCTGAAGCAGCGCCAACATCGTAATCTCGATCGCCCTAAATGTTCTAGTAACAAGCGCCACAGAGGACCACACACCTTGGAAAATGCTGATTTCTGTTTCATTTTTTTTTAATCCTTATTTGTCGTCGCTTCACTGACTTTCAGGGTTAATGTCCCCCAACCGTGTTCCCTTGTAACGCCAGGCGAATGAGGGGCACCGTGAATTTTCATTAGCTTTAGATTGATCAATATTGGAGATGATAATGAAGCCACGACAAGAGTCCCTTCTAAAAAAAACATAACTTCTAAAGCAGGCTATGTGTGCAACAATTAAATTTAAGGCGAAACCTTTTTTTTTTTTTTTAATATACACTGTGCGGTTATATGAGCTGATTCAGCCGCGTTAAGGCCGGGCGCTGTAAAATCTATCTGGGGGCCCCGGGTACGTTAAGCTGTCAAGAAAAAGGTTGGAATGAATAACCAAATTTTTTCGCTGTCGCAATGTGGCAATCAGTTACATTGTTTAGAATGCCGGAGGCAAATCATGATACATTTCAATCCTTTCGTCAAGCACTAAACTGGACCAGCTCACATTGCCGTTGACTGCACCCAATGTAGCTCCCACGTTATTCTGAGTCCAAGCAAGGCTCGTCAATAATTTATAAAAAAAAAAAAAAACTAATCTTGTTAAGAAAGAAATTTTGACGTGACACAATATATCAAAATGATTAGAAATGAATGCTAAAAAATGACATATAAGAGCCACAGCCGGCGTTAATGAGCCTCTTGATTGTCTTTTTCTAGTCTTGATTTAGCGTGTACGTAGATTGTAGCCATATTATCAAATTTGTTATACAAACAAACAAGGTATTCGGAAATAAGTTGTTTTGCATCCCGATTTTTTATGCCCAAAAAGTCAATCTAGATAGTATTCGAGTTTCTTTTTAATTAGTTAAAAAATGTTGACGACAAAATTGGGACAAACATTGAAGTTAATAAAGTTAGAAACGCAATATCGTAGATATACATTGATGCATCGGTTACATTGTTTAGAATGCCCCCAACCGTAAATGACTCCCCGCGTGGCCCGGTATTGAAGCGAGACCGTGAACAGTTTTCTACGACGGAAAATAAATTATTAAAAATACAGTCGTCCGAGCTTCTCTGCCGCTCACAAAAACGCGATGTTGCGAATGCCACATACTATAACACGTGAGTAGATGTTTGGACCTCTCGCAGATAGACGGCTCCCAAGAAAAAATGTCTGAAACCTTGCAAACGATAGAGACTACGTGAGCATTGGTGCTCGGAGCAGCGCGGATCGTGCGATAACAGTAGATAGCTGGCACTTAAACCTGCCTCTCACATTTGCGTTTGAGTATAGCCGTCTACGAAGCGCTTCCGCGTAATCACTTATGACGAGTGAGCACACTGACGTCATCTATAAAGTAGGCCGAAAACTATTGGGATATACGTACGTACAACGAGGCTAAACTTTCGCAGTATTTACGAGGTCAAATCTAACCCTACCTGGGAGAAATGGTCATTTATAAGATTGTGAGAATTAACTCATGCCCATTGTGAATGAATGGCGCTTAAGAAAATTAGGAGATATATATACGCAGACCGTAAGTGTTCTAGGGCTCCCGATAGATGGCGACACTGTGTTCTCTCGTGGTAAACGGCTACAAGTGGGAAAGAAGTACGCGAATAAGAGCTGAACTGTACGAAGCAAACACCCGGCCAATTTCGACAGGTGGCACGCTCACTTCACTCGCGGCGTCAACACTTTTCTCGCCGGGGGAATTTCGTCGCTTGTTCGCAGCTACTCCTCTCAAGATGTTTGCCTTTAAAAACGCTAGACACTCGTGCAAAACGTTTGAAATGCCAACTAGCAAAGCGGGGCCATAGTCTAACGCGCAGCACGTGTCGACCTCTGCGATAGTGAATTTCGGAAGAATCTAAAGCAAATTACAGAATTTCTAGTAATCAGGTGTTCCTTTTATGTTTACACGAAATGCTGAATATAGTTTATTCCTAATGAGCTACTCAAGAATGTAGCCGATAGATATCCCTTACTAATTAAGCTTTTCTTTTCATGCTTTAGATGGACCCTTGCCAAGCGTGATGCAGAAGGTCAGCGTGCCAATCATCACCAACAAAGAGTGCGAGAGCATGTACCGTAAAGCCGGCTTCATCGAGGACATCCCCAACATCTTTATATGCGCCGGACTGGCCAAAGGAGGAAAAGATTCGTGCGAGGTGAGCCACTGAATGAAAGTTGATCACCGGATTGAAAGCTGCTACAGAAATTTTTTTTTTATTATTTTTATTATTATTATTTTTATTATTTAGCGCTACGATGGGGCTAAGACACTGTGGATGTGGTGTTCGCGTTCGAGAGAAATATAAAATGCTAAAAAAAGAAAACGCTGCAGAATACATTAGAAAGTCTGGATGTTCAGCGTTACTGTGTGATTTCCGCTGTTTCGCGTAGACTGAGATCAAAGTCCAGGCGTCTCCAGATGCTCACGGCACCTCTGCTAAAGGAAGCGCTTTATAGGGTTCCTTTCATGTATTCATCTCCGCTTAGTGGTCACGGGCTAAAAAACGAATGGGCGCCGAAAGATGAGTAGTAGATGCACAATTATTTATTTAAAAATCAAATATTTAAAAACCTTTTTAAGATTGAAAATATAGTAGCCTTTTTGGGAACTTCTGAGGACTTCTGAGTTTAGCTGCTGGTTGCGTAAAGTAGTGCAAAAAACGAAAGAAAAACTATTAAGTTTCCAAATGGTAACAACATTCTATATGGTAACGGTGAGAGGTTTCCGCACAACGAGATCCGTACGACCAGCAAATGTAACTTGGCGCAGAATATGATCATATAGTCATATACGCTTGAAGGCGTCACTAGTGGAATAAATGGTAGTTTCAGCCCAAGAATAACTAGGGTTCGGAGTTTTCAGGTTAAACCGATAAAAACCAATAAAAGTACGGCGAATTCATTTTGAAAATTCGGTTTTAACCGAAAAAGGTCAGTTTGTAGGTTCGGTGTTTTGGGTTTAAACCGATAAAACCCGATAAAAGTACGTCGAATTCATTTTCTAAAATTCGGGGAAGAAGGCCACCTTGAACTTCCAGTCGCAACGCAGAGCCGTGGCGAAAAAGTGGAACGACAGTGTCTATCGAAACTCGTCCCAATATGGGATACACGGATGCCATCACGACGCTCTGTTTTAATGTGCACATCATCGATCGGAACGTGAAGTACGAAATGCCCCATGAACTCACCATGTACGAGCGTGTTTTCAAACTCGTTGTAAGGGAGACTAACTTGATGCAAGCTGAGCCAGAGTTTAGTAAGTACACAAAATATGTTTTGCTTCAAACGTCGCACCGTGTCTCTTTTGGCGGTCAGATTTGGTTAATTGGCCGATTTTGGCTCAGGCAGCACTTCACCTTTTCAGGCTGCCAGTGTCCAGTGTTTTTCATGAAGCTCAGGATCATATTAACAGGAAAGAAAGTGCGGATCAACGAGAATCTGGGAAAGTACATGTGTGTTTACTATAATAAAATCACGTAATCCTGATTACGCGTATACGTCAGGAATACATGGAACTTCACCTTCCGCGGAAGGTGAAGTTCCATGTTTTTTGAGCGTAGGCTTCATATCTGACTCGTCTGTACTTCTGTGCTTTTTCCTGGTCTCTATTACAGTTGCACACGTTTGCCAAAAGTGTCCATTTCCTTTTCAATGTATCTGTGCAGTTATTCTTTGAGTGATCACAAATATCAGAGCTACAAGGATCATCTGATCCGGTGTCCGTTGGTGTTCATTTCATATATTCACCGAAAAAAGACAGTAAACGTTTAGTGGGCATAAATATACACCAAAAACAAAAAAGAAGAAAATTGTGTTTTAAAATAAACACAAAAAACGCCGAATTTTGAAGAAATACAAATCGAAAACGCGGAACCCTTATAATGAATCCATTAATCATTCCAAGCATGAGTCACAGTCACTGTTTGACAGACGCAGTTACTTGTTGCTTGAACGGTTACTTGCCTTTATGCGTAATATAAAATAACAGCCCATTTCTGTGATGTAACTAGAAGTCGTTCAGTTTCAAAAGGTCCTCGCGCGCAAAGAAGGAACTAAGGTAAGAAACCTAATTGTTTGTCTCTGAGGTTTTATACAACGCTGTGATAGGCTCGAGTACAAGCGGATGGCTTTAACTAGTGCTTTATTTTAGGATGTGCTCGCCCAATCAAAACATTTCACAGAGCTAACCTCTCTCTTCTGTTTTTTTAATAGCTCTGGGCACAACTTGTAGAGGTTCCTACTTTTATTTCGAGCATAATTAGAATATGCTTTCGTGTGCTTGCTTTTCTGAAAAAGAAAAAACGCGGAGTTCTGGTTATGTACCGGCACCCTTACACACGCACGCAGGGATGCACACAGTCAAACAGAGACATCGACAGATACACAGAGAGAGCGAGAGAGACAGATACACAAACACATACAGAGACAAAGATACATACAAAGACAGAGACCCACACAGAAACACAAACGGAGATACGAACAAAAACACAGAAAGAGACACAGGCGGACACATACAAAAATACAGGCAGGGACACAGGCAGAGACACAGGCAGAGACGCGGACACAGACACAAATAGACATATACACAGTTATATAGACAGTTTTCTTCGATCAAAGAATCAATTTATAACTTTATGCAGGTTGATTTAATTTAGCTCTCTTGGTTTTATGTAGGTTGCAAATGTGGTACTGAGAAGCTCGCAGGTGTCCTTGATCGTGCTGTTGGCACTTGTCTCTAGCACGCGGAAATGCATACATACATACAACGTGCGTAGAATAGCGCTGCCAATCAATTTTGTTTTCTTCAGTGAGGAAATTTCTTGAAAACACTTTTACGAATCCCTTGCTTGCCGTGCATGTCACAAACACTAAGGCAATTTAAGAGTGCGCTAAACGTTTTAAATTTCTGTTGAAATGATAGAGGTGTACTTGATGAAACTGCGAACCGAAAACGGTCATCGGTTTAGAACGGAACTGAATATTAATGTCTTAAAAAATAGAACGTATATAAAATTAAAGCTACCATTACTGGAAAGAGAATGGAGCCTGGGTTTAACTATCGGTCTATGCAGAAGCCCGCCAAAAAAAGTGATCATTTGCAAAGAACAGAGGAAGTTGTTCAATAGGGTTTTTACGAGAAGAGTACCGGTCCGGATCTTTTATATCACAAAATTAGAACAAAATGTAGGTCAGAATTTATTGCAAAACGCAATTGATCCCGACGGTCTGCACTAGTGCCCTCATGAAACTGTTGGATCTCCACCTTTTAAAAAATATTTTTTTTTCAGGGGACTATAAATTTAGTTAGCCTTGAACATTATCAGACACAAGTGGCAATACTAAATCCTAGTATACAAATTCTGGAACAAAAAAAAAAGGAGAGTCATCAACCTGAATGCATGCAGATACAGGCAAAATTTAACTCCATCACGCTCTACGTAATTTATTAATTATGCCAAAATCACTTCTCTAAGCTATACTTATTGGCTGGCGAAGCCTGACTGTTTTGGCAAGAAGGGTGACAGTGGGTTTACACCATTCAGTGCAGCCCCGCAGATAATATTTATTTGTGTCGAATATAAGCTTACTCTTTTTGTTTTTTTTAATTCAGATCTTAGAATGGTATTAGGCGATAGTTCCAGAGTTCATGAGGTTAATAAAAAGGCGCATCCTGTGCGACGGGGTAAAAGGAGAGGGGGAGGGGAGGTGTTCGGTCGATGGCTGTTAAGTGTCCTTCATCGAGCTCTCCATGCGCAAAGGATAGCTATTTCATTCTCCGTTGAGCCAAACGCCGCCTTGGCAGCCGCACTGAGCGCCTTTCATTCGCAGCACACACGGCACGCGTGGGCACGAATGGTGCACAAGGTGCACCGAAGAAATCGACAAGTTTGCTTACAGTGCAATATGATGACGCCCAATAAAAAGAAGTAATGGTTTTGACTTTGTTGCCATAGTCCTCACTAGGGAACCTTACAGTGTGCTGTTTGTTTGAAGGGATGGTGAACCAAAAATTAGATTTCAAAAATAAAAAAATAAAAAACAATGCAGGAGATGTAGGCGAGACGCTACAATCCCTACAACACTACTTGTAAGGCGATATCTCAAGTGGACGGCCGCATTTTTGAAAAAAAAAGGACGAGATTAAACCAGGCCGACGAGGCGCGTGACGTCATGATACCTTGTTTCCCCCTCTCTTCGCTTCGCTCCCTCAAGGAGGCGAGGCGGAGAAGACGCGAGGCCGTTCCCTCTCCTTCTTGGAGAAACATGACGTCAACATTTCTGCCAAATGCGCCTCCTTATTCTGAAAAATACGGCCATCTGTTCGAGATATCACCGTATGAGTGATGTTTTAGTGTTTGAAGCATCCTGTTGCACGCTTTTTGGTGCGTGTTTTGGGGAATCCAGATTTCGGTTCAGCATCCCTTTAACACGGTATCACACAAGTGAGCCGAGTTTGCTAAGAACGCTCCCCGACTGCATTCGTCAATTTTTCCGGCTCGATTATAAGGTTGATTCAACTAGAAATCTTTCAACGTGGAGCGTTGTTGCGTCTAAAACCGCCACAAATGGCAGTAATATCGCGTGTGATTATAGAAAGAAAGTGTTTCCCTCTTGTTTGTGAGTGAGGTTGGCTTGTTGGAAAGCCACAATGATTGCGAAGCGATTGAATATACGATGCAGTATTTAGAAATCGTCTGAAAGAGAACCCAATTTAAATGGTCGACTGGCTCCCGAAAGGGAACGTTACTGGTTTGCCTCGCTGTCATGTGTTCAAACAAAAGTATGTTTTTTTCGCTTTTATTTTTTACGCTGAAAACGGCAGGACGTATTTTTCGTATGTCCGGCCCTCTGCATGATTTTTGTTACCTTCCATCGTGCACTTCCTGCTCGTGCACGCGCGAAGCACACAAGATGCCTAAGTGTTATTTAAGCTAGCAAGTTATCGCTGGAGGCGGGACAGATGAAGGTCTTGATGATAATGCAATTAAATGCAAAGGTTCAAAGCTAGCTGGACAAGTATGACGAAAATAATCCCAGGAGAAGGGGAACAAGGGGGACAAAGGATAAGCACAAAGCTCCAAACACAACTAGGTGACTGGTGCGCGACCGAAATAAATTTCCGATTGGCTGAAGAAATGGAAACAAATTCGGCCAATCGAGCTTTGGCCAACATGTTTCTACAACACTAGAAATGGTGTACGTTTCTCACAAAAACATCACAGGCGTTCTCAATCAGTCCTTGTAATTATCGTTGGTCGTCCACCCTTTAAATAATACAGCTGATTTTTCCTTAAGATGTGAAATACTTTTATAATTCAGTGGCTTGTACAATACATATTGGGTGAAAACTTGGGACTGCTTCATTCCGTCGCCTTCCCAGTCAACGGTCCAGCTCTACAACAAACGAGGGGCAGAGAAAAGCACGGCGCCGTGTCTTATTGTCCTCGCTCTCTGTACGCACGCAGTTACATAGACTGCGTGATAGTTGACGCTCATGTGAAGAGGGATTTTATATGTTCAATTGAAAAGTGCACTCGCGCCGTCCGCCAGCCGATCGTGATGTTTTTGGCTGCACTCCGAGAAAGCTAACTTGAAGGCAGTGGCGCCCGGTGAAACTCGGAATGTAAGCAATCTTCAGTATACATGAATGTAAAACTTGCGCCGCGCTCACAAATAATACGTCCCACTGCTGGCATTTTTTTATAATTATTTCTATTCAATTGGCGAGAAAATCGAATTTCAGGGGATGCTCTTTATTCAGCTTGCTTTCCCCAGAAATGGGGTTTTACGAAGGCCCGTTGACTGGATTCTTTAGCTCATATTCCTCGATCGAGCACGGGAAACAAATCGAACAGAAGCGTGGCATTAACGTTCTGCTGGGACGCGTATTTAACGGACTCTTTTCAAAAGTGCACGCTATCTAGTGGCTGCAGCGCCAGTTATCAGAATCCGCCATTATTTGGGCACGCATCCTAAGATGTATAGGACGCAACGGCTGCTTCAGAGTTCGACGAGGATGCGGATCCAATCACACGCTTAGTGCCCAAGCAATGTCGGCCACCAATGTTGCTCGATGGAGTTACGAAAAGGGCCTATCAAAGCTGCACTGACTGAGCGCGAGACCCAGCCGAGCGATGACGCAGTGTTCCGCTCCGTGAGTCAAACGCTGAATCACGAAACGGACACAAACAGTCAACGTGGTTCTTGTCCCCATGCGTTCAGTTCTCTTCTCAGCCACTTGTGACGCGACGATTGGATCTCCTCTTCAGCTATCTCCAACCGAGGTTTGAGATCGTGCCGCACTTGTCAGAATAGCTCTATACTGCTGAGAAATTAACCGCCGTTCATGACGGAGGGAATATCGACCTCATAAACATTCATGTAACAAATTTGGCTTCGGGGTGTCTGCCACCTGCACGCCTAACTAAGCAATTTTGGCGTCTGTCTCCGCAGGGCGACTCCGGTGGACCCCTGGTGCTCAAGGACCCCAACACGGGGCAGTGGTCGCTCATCGGCATCATCTCGTGGGGCATCGGGTGCGCCCTGCCCAACCAACCCGGGGTGTATACAAGGATAACCCACTTTGCCGAGTGGATCCGACAAATCATCGTCTTCTGAGCGCTGGCCGCTCTTACAAAGAAAGCCGTGACATCGATGCAACGGATCTCGGGAGCGGAGAAAAGTTCTGAGGCGACTGCCGGAGCAAGGATGCCACTTGCCTCGAGTTTTTCCCCGTGGGCGAGCGAATGCCGTGGGGAATCCGTCTTCCATCATTGTTTTGCACGTTGTGTGTCGTTAATTTTTGCGGCGTATCTCTTTTTTTTTTTTTTTTTTTTTTTACAACGCGCGATGCTTGGAAGGGTGATGTGTGACTGTGCGGATAGCGTTCGTCGTCGCAAAATGGCCAGATTCGGGGGTTTTATACTTACGGTACTTTTCATCTGAAGTAGATAAGTCGAAGCTCGTTAAAATATGGGGCAACTACAATAGTAAGCAACATCAGAAAATATGGTAGTTTTCTTTTAGGGCGATTTATTAATATTTCAACCTAGCAGCCCTCTGCATCACTTATGATTCGCCAGGAAGTCCGACGAAAGCTGTGCTAATTATGGAGGTCATAAAATAGACACAGTGATAGCGCACTCGTGGTAGGGCAACAAAGGTCCAAGTCTAAGTCTGTCCGACGAAGGATTGAAACCACCGTGTTGATAACAGTCAAATCTGACGGCGCTAACTAGAACCGAATATGTGTGGAATCGTCACTACTTCATGCTGATGGCCGAGGTGGTTTGAGCTTTACAAATATCTCATCATCTTGCTTTTATTGGAAGGCGGGATTTGATGGGAGTCCTGGGCTGGCGGGAACACTATTAAGAGAGTGCAGGTGTTTTGGGCTTGCAACACAATACAGGACAACTGTATTAGCCAATGAAATCCACTTTCCAATTTGTTTCAAAGTGAACTTGAAATGCCATACCACTTTTTGTCAACATACTTACATCGATGCAATACCTTGTTAGTAGTATAAGGGAAGAAATCTGACAACTTTCTTCTAGGAATGCCAATTTAAATCATTTACTCTCGTTCAGGTCAACCACTGGCTCACTTTTTCACGCAGATGGTTTATTTTATACACTGTATGTAGTTATTTATTAAAACATATTCATTGTAAAAAAAACAGCGATTTGAAAATCCGGTGTTCGATTTCCGTTTTATTCATAGGGATTCACAAAAAACCGTTATATTTTTTTTTTTTTTTTTATATTGACCACGTTGAACCTGTATATTGCAACCACTACACGCTTGGTGATCAGAAAGAAGTCTGACAGTGTTTCTTACTCTGTAGCGCTAGATGGGAAAATTAGCGCCTGCACATTGAAAGTTCCAACTTTCATCCTATGTGCGTTAAGGTGGTGGGATATTTTATCTCGTGAAATTTCAAGGCGCAGTTTTCTTTCTGCACAAAAGTAGACCAACACAGTTGCCAAATTAAAGGTGGACGTGCTCCAACCTCACTTGGTGACTAATTTTGACTCATGGTAACACCCCCCCCCCCCCCCCCCCCCCCCCCCCCGGCGCAGCAAGCAGACGACGCACTTTGTTGTCTGCGGGCTGCCGCCACGCCATGGGGAGATGGCATCATAAGTCATGTTCGTTGATAACTTGGTCGTCTGGGAAGACGTCCACCGGTGACTCTAGCAAGTGTGTGAGTCCTTTTTTACATCAAGAAGACTACGCTTTGACATTTCATAACGTGAAATTGATCACCTTAAAGCACACTCGATAAAATTTCAGACTTGTACACGTTACTCAAAAATTGCACATTCGATAAAATTTCAGACTTGTACACGTTACTCAAAAATTGTAGTTAAGTTACTGAGTATCGGGCTCCAAAGTAATTTGAGTAAAGTAGAATTTTTTTATTTAGTGAGTAATTGAGTAAACTATACATTAATATAACATAGTATCAAATTTTAAGGCAGTAAGAAAGTACAGAGGTTTTTAATTCGTCAGCGAAATTTCACTAACCTAATTTGAAGACAGCCATTTCTGGCTTGTGTTTTCACCAAAATGTTTTTTTAGCTCGAAGAAGCAATTTTCTCTCAAGTTATTGGCTGGAGGTTGGGCTTCCACGTGTCTCCGTGTTTTTCAGTTTAGAAAGATAATATTTCGGATGTACAATTCCTGCTTCGAAGTTTGGTTCTGTGTGAGCTCGGTCGTGCAAAAAACGTTTGCTTTTTTTTTAATATTAAGAGTTTGGGGGAACTACTAAGATTTTTCATACTTGGAACTTGGAAGACTTCCATATTCTAAATTCTGAATGGAAAGGGCAACGCTAAAAGGTCGCGAGTTTCCTTTTAGCTGCGACTTTTCAAGTAAAGCAAAAAGCACAGGAGCACAACGACTTTCGGACCGAGTGCTGCATTTTGTTGTTTCCTTTAGGTGAGGACCTGGTGTGTAAAACCTACCACTAACTTTTGAAAATAATTTGTAATTTTAGTAGAAGTTACTCGGAAAAGTATTTAAAGTTCACTACTAATTACTGAAACAATATTGTAATTAGAAGCTACTAAAATACTTGGAAAAGTCGTCAAACTACCGTGATTTGAGTACATTGAATTACGTGCAAGTCTGATTTTGAATTTATTATGGGCAGGCGCCCAGACTTGCAAGTAATTCGTTACAAGTAACGGGATTACTTGTAATGGATTACTTTGTAATTTCGAAATTAATCCGTTACTTTTTTGAAAATGTACTTTGTTATGTAATCTCATTACTTTTTCAGTAACGAGTTACTGAAATTAGTCGTTGCAATTCTTCTGCCCTGTCAAAGGGAGGGATAGAGTGGAAGAAGGACGATGCAATGGCCTTCGCGCTTTTAGCATGGTAACATAACGCGGGGGTTTGCTAGCGAAGACAGTGTTGGCGAGGGAAAGGAAAGGAATTCACGCAAAGCACGAGAGCCTAGCTAGAGCTCCTTTCTGGACTCGTTCGTACGGTCAGCCAAGCTGCGGGAATTCGACTGTCTGTATAAAGGCAAAAGGCTTCGACTTCTTTGAAAACGAACGGACTGGTTCGAGCGCGCAAAAGAGCAGAAAAGAAATGGCCCACACAACCGTCGCGTGGGGTTCGTGAGGAGTAGGACCATGGACACTGTGCCCGTGGTGAATACGTTCGCTCCCCCAGCCCCCTGCACCTTATGCCCCCAAAAGGAAATAAGCGGGTTCTTACTTTTTTTAGTTTTTTGTAGTTGTTACACAAAGCCACCCTTTGCTTCTCGATATTTCTGCCTGCACATGCCCACCCCGCCAACGCAGAAAAAGTTCTAATGAGACCTCGGCTCCTGCTCATCCTTAACAGCACTCTGAAAGCTAAATACTGGCTGGATATCAATCAGCTATGTGGCTTCTGTTACTTGACTTTCCATTAGCGGACGCGTAAGGCAGAAACATGAGGGGGGGGGGGGGGGGGCGGTGGCAACAGTTCATTGAAACAAAAAATCTAGCGTCAACCCTGCTGCCAGTTTAAACAGTAACTTCCGGCAGTAGGCAATAGGGTGGCCGGGACGCACAACCAAAGCTGCTTGGGACTTCGAAGCTGAACCCCTATTCTCAGAAACAAGTATGCTGGGGTTCTCGTCAGCGGACTGTGCTTGCGGGAACTTAGATCGAATTTTTTTTTCAGAAAGGAAACACAGCCCGAGTTTTTTTGATAATAGACAGTGGCTGACTTGGACACGAGTTGCGACAAGTTAAGGCGGCTGTAAACGCTAGAGACATGGAAGCCTGCTGTCCACCGACAATTTTGCTTTTGTTTAATATTAAATGGCAAAATCAGTTCAGCTGAAAAATTGCGCATTCATATTCCGTCCGGAGTTTTGGTTTTGATGATCAAGAAATAAGATTAAGTGAGTCACGGTCGGATAAGAACCTTCATCTTTGAAATGTACCCAAACGGAAGTACCGAATCTATGTGTCACAGCCAGTTTGTTTTAGTTAGTAAACCAGTCGCTACTTCGGCAACATGCGGAAACCACAGAAAAATCACATATTCAGTAGAATCGTGTTTTTAAGTTCGCCGATGCCATAATTCGAATGGTGTGCGTGCCTTCAGCGTTTAAAGTGCCTTCGTCGCATGTTCATGGAATTTAAGGCGCGTCCACACCAGCGATGTGCAGCACTCGCGCGATAACTTTCATCGCAAAAGCGACCGTCGCGGAAAAAAAGCGACGAGTTTCGGGCAGTCGCTAGCTAACCCAACTTTCTGCGATTTAGTCACCGAGCGGCTGAGCCAATCAGCGGCGTTCGGAACAAAAGTTTCGAGAAGCAACTTGCTCATTGCGCACGGAAGAGTGACCATCTGAATTTTTTGCGATACGATCTAATCGCGTCGCTCGAGCGCTCCACGTCGCCGGTGTGAATGCGCCTTTAAGGCGCGTTCACACCGGTGATGTGGAGCCTGCTCGCCGTTTGTGAGCTCGCTCCCATTGGTCCACTGTAGATGACAGCGCCAAGCTGGTGCATGCTGGGACACGCTTGAGGCAAAAATGGCGCAGCGTCGCCGCGCAGCGCCGGCATCTGTAGTAGACCAATGGGAGCGTGCTCGCTAAACGGAGGCGCGTCACAGGCAGCCGCAACACATTAATAGGCTCATCTTGGTCGTCTTTTTGGCTCATTTTGGCCCCTTGACGAGAGCGCGCGCTCGGCCGTCGGCCTCAACCTCGGCTGTAGCGAAACGTGGCCGTCCACGCCAGTACACCGCAGACGAACTAAGGGAGCGGAAGAACGACATTCATGCTTTAGCATTCACAACTCATAAGAAGTGCTTAAATGTCGTCGGAATTTTTTTTTTTTTTTTTTTATGGTTTTGCTTTTTTTTTGAAGATCGGTGGAATTCGGACAAAGATAAGAATGATATATTGTTCCAATTGTCTTTTCGCGCACAGCTGCGTTGTCGCACACACTGCTTGAACAAGGCAAGTGCTCTTGGAATGTCGGAATTACTGACTGCTGGAAGCATGCCGCGCTGTTTTAATTGATGCGAATGAAATCAATGACGAGCCGCGCACTGCCGGACCGCAACACTAGGTCATGCTATATAAAAAAGAGAAGCGGAAC